ATTTGTTGTCATCCACATGTTTCTTTGCTACTCTCTCTGTGAACTAACAAAATACAGTAATTTGTTGTCATCCACATGTTTCTTTGCTACTCTCTCTGTGAACTTAGTTTGAGCAATTTGCTGTAAAATGTAGGCGTTAAATTGGTGTGAGAGGGAACAACAGAAATCTGTGTTGCTGTAAGAACACAAGAAAGGTTACAAACAAGCTTGTTTGGCCGATTGTGGCTTAATGAGCCGTGGAGCTGCTTCACGAAGCTAGCCAGAAGCTTTGAGGAAATGGCTGGGAAACTTCCCTGAAGCTCCCACCCGGATCCCTCTGCTTCACGCTTCACGGTCAAGTCTGAAGAAGTCCTCTGGGATGACTTCCTCAGTGCCTGAATATTGCCCCCTGGTAACCTTTCCTGTTCATGACTCCCGTTTGCAGCACAAGCAGTTGCACCCCCACCACGGGCCCCACCTGCACTTTGCTGAAAATGAGCTTGTCCCACATGCTGTCATTCCTCACAATGCCACTCCTGAGCTCCGCTTCCTTCCTCTTGGAGGCAAACTCCAGTAGCCATCGCTTCACAGGAGTATTGGCCTGGCCGAAAATCTGAACACGGGAGCCAAGATCACCGATTAAAAGTGGGAAGAAATGGAGCAACAGCACAATACTGAGGGTTAACTTTCTGATCCTCCTTGCCAAGTGGATTCTTGGTATGCTAAGGCCAACCGAAGGTTATCAACAGCATTCTGCTCAGGGATGCAGCACATTAGCGGAACAGAACATAAGAGCTGAGGCTGAAAACGTCGGTCAGCGAAGAGGACATCACTCACCCTGTCAAACATCCGGTTGAGCAGACGAGGTACTACAGGGAACAAAGTGGGGCGCAAGGTCTTGAGGTCGTCCATGAGGAGCCTGATGTCACCCTGGAAGAATCCTATCCGGGCTCCATGACACAAGATCACAGCCTGGAAGCAGAGGGGACATTACTGTCCGTGCTGCCGCGCTGTCGATTTCTTGTCCAGGAACTGAGCAGTAATTCTAGTTTCTAGTGGTTCTGTTTTGTTACGAGTTAGGCACTTTTCACACCTGTTAAGTCTCACAAGCTTAATGGCGAGACTGGCGTCGTGACCTTTAAAAAGGTGCTGCATAATGTTAACAAGGTTCCAGGTAACAAGCAGCAGGTAAGGTTGGATGAAATGAAGAATCGGTACAGTCAAATTTAAAGCAGTTACTTTGTGGCATATTCAGAAACGGTGAATGTAGCTGGTACTGTAGGTGCCGATTCTAAATCGTGCAGACAGCTTCTACACGGGCAACATGTTGTAGGATTAACTGCAACAGTAACATTAACAGTCCTTAACGTATCTAGATACATAAGCACATTTGACACGGACAGAAGAAGGGCATTTCTACTGGACTGAAGAAATCAGTCGTGTAGAAACAACGGGTCATCTTCTGCATTTGGTACCTTCTCGAGCAAGGTACAACACTGGTGCCCCACCTGATGTTGGATCCCCCAACCGCTAAGCACATTCTCGTTTTTTTCTAAAGATTAGGGACTTCGGTAACTGATCCTGAGGGACCACTGGGCCAGTGAGTGTGCCAGCTTTCAATCTTCAATGCTGATTGACACCTTTAATTGATCCACTTCTGTAGACTTGGTTAGTGTCTGCACTCAGTTCTGAGTTCACAAATATCCTTACTCCATGAGCACAATCTCCAACACCTTCGTCATGCTGAACATGCCTAGTTCTGACAAAGCATCTCTTGCTAGGACATCAATTTATGATGAATATTTACAGGTGGAAAAGACAACGAACCAGACATTCTCACAGGTGCTTTGTATTTCCTTTTGCAGAGGTGTGACTGGTTATACTTCAAACAACATACCTGCACACAGTAAATGAGAACATGCCAGTGCTACTTCTGATTGCAGAAGTCTGTTTTTTCAAACCTCGGAGACATTTCACTTACGTCAAGGATTTAATACTTTCCCCAGATATAACAAGACAGGCAAAACGGACATGGCTTTACAGGTGACTCGTTTTAAACACATACCTGCACCACCCTCTCAAACATGTGGGCAAGAGGCAAGTAGGAAACATGAATGTCGGTGGTGTTTAAGCGACAAATCATCTGAAAGAAACAAAACAGCAGACAGACAGGGGAGGGGGATGGTGAGCAACAGGGCTCTTACCTCCACCACCCTCTCAAACATGTGCGCCAGAGGCAGGAAGGAGATAAGGACATCGTCAGGACAGGGGAAGAAGGTGCTCTGGAGACGGCCGAGGAAGACAGGGACAGCGAGAAGGACAGGAAAAAAAAAGGAAAGTTGACGGAAAAAGAGAGGAAGTACAAGGTGAGAAAAGTCCCGGAAATAAAGGAGAGGAGAGATCAACCCCAACAAGACCACACCGATATAAACTGCTGGAGTGTCTTCTCTACGCGACACCAGTACAGAACAGAACTGAAATCTCACACTGGACTCGTTCGTGTGGGGGGTCTTGCTTGTCCTGTGCAGCTCGATTTTTAGATTTATTTTAAAAACCGGCTGTAATGACTTCACTTCGGAAGCAGGTGTTAGGGTCGGTGCTCTCCAAATACATATCTACATGTTCCAACGTTTAGCCATTGATTCTACTGATCAACGGAAAATGGAAAAAGATAAATAAACATAAATCAAGATGTTTCTAGTAATACTCTCTCTTGAGGGGGGCTTTATAGTTTATAGCAAAGACAAGCACCTACATTTATCATTTCAAACATTTGCTCCGTGTCCTAAAATATGAACATCTGCAGATGAGATGCACACAGTTGTGTCATTTTTTCACTAACAATTACATATATAAATAATAGAGTGGAGCTTTCTTGATGACCAAACAATACTGTTAAAACTGCCCTTGAAACAAATGGCTCACTTTGAAGTCAAGACTTTAAGGGAGCAATAATTTTGGCTGAACTGAATGCTCTGTTTGTTACTAGCTGCATACCCTTCAACATGCTAGTGATCCGGTTTCTTTTCATTACAGTTTAACATAACAGTGCTGGTTGTACAAACTGGCTTCTCTAGGGAAAAAAGTCAGTTGAAAGTTCAGGATTATAAACAGGAAGTTGCTGTGCAGAGGCATGTGTAACAGTTCTAAATGTCCCCACAGCACTTCCTCTCCTAAAGTTTCCATAAGAAGCTACAGCACTTTCTGTGGAAACAAAGAGATTAGGTTCTAACTGGATGTTCAATGTCTAAGAAGATTACAAAAAGGATTATGTGGACAAATGAAATCAGTCCTTGAAAGTTTTGGATGGAGATGATCAGTGTAGTATAAATGTAGCTGATGTGCATATGAAATTCAATAATGCCAAAGCCCTTGAAAGTAGGTTTACCTCAGTTACTTTAGTAAATGCAGAACAATTGGACACAATATTTTCATGGGTAAGCATTGCACCCTTGGGGTTTCCTGTGAAGAAAAAAAAAGCTTAAGAAGATATTATCTTGTGCCCTGGGCAACTACAATACTCGTGCTGTTGAATTAGAACCTGCCTTAGCTCTGTGGTGGTACAGTTCTGTAAGACATTTCTGAATACACACACAAAACATGACCAAATTAAGCAGTGCCTTGAAGATGAAGCTGGGTCATTTTCGTAAACGAGCTGGCGTACAGATTTTGTTTTTAAAGAACAGCTTCGAAAATAAACTACGATTTTTCTTTGACCCCAAACTTGAGAGCAATGACAGCCGCGATGCCCACATTTCCCACTCCAGAATCTCGCACGCGCCTGCGCAGAGTGATGTTCTCTCAGTATCGCTGTCCATTCAATCCTGTATTAACCGGACAAGGTGCAACACAGATCTCTCACCCGTGGTTCCGCTGGTGAAGCAAATGACCGCCAAGTCATCGGGCTTCGGGGGCTGAAAGAAGCCGCAAAACGAGAGAGCAAAGCTGTCACTTTGTCGCGAGCCGTACTGCGCCGCGTTTCAACTTCCTGCTCCTGGAGGAGTTCCAGAGAAAATGTAACCACTTCACTCAAACGCTACTCACCACTGGCTTCTTCAGGTTTGCCCGTCCAAGAGCCTAGGACACACGAAGAGAGGACAACAATGCATGACAAGGGGACTGACAGGAGGGGCTTAGCTTACTGCAGCGTCAAATCGAGCTCAAATCCGCATGTTTCACAGTCCTACGGGCGAGATTCAGGACAACAGGATGCACAGACTGGAGGCCTCCGAACAGTCCTCTAATAGCCCAGGACAAGAGAGCAGCCCAGTAAAAAGCCTTTCATAAGCAGAGAGCAGCCAAAGAACAGGAAACCAGTCGTTTACCATGACTGCAGAGAAAACTGGCTGTGAAGTTTGGATAACCCGCAGCCATTGATAAACAGAAAAGAAAGCGAAGGTCTGCTCATTTAAATGGGAGGACAGGAAACGGTTTCGGAGTGCCTTTCAGCCAGGTTACTGGAAATAAGTAGAGGTTTCACAGGAGCTGACCTCCACGTCCTTCAGACTGAGGATCTCCACCCCACACTGCCGGCCTCGTGCCACCAGCTCCGCGTCGAAGGCCTCCATGAGGATGACGGTTTTCAAAGGGTGTTCGGCCCCAGAGACACAGTCGAGAAGGAGCCTGGCTTTGTCGGCAACGTCGCAAATCACCGTGGAGATAGTCGCTGAAAATCGGGCAGGGGGGGGGTTATCAGATTAGTTTGGATGCTTTCAGGCCGAAAAACAAAGCAAATCAAAAGACACAAATCACTAGAATGTCAGCAGATTCACTGGCACTCGTTTTCACAGCAAGTCTTTTTGCATGTACAAATTACAAGGATAAGACCCAATTTATCCAGGCAAAACATCTTTTAACAGAGAAAGGATACAGTTTGAGGTAACCAAACTGTCCTTAAAAAATGGCTCATTTAGACATGCAGTGACTTTGTTAGCTTTAATTTAAGCCATAAGCAAGGTTTCTGTATGAACCTCCAGAGATACTACAAAATGCCTGAGGGGACATCACTCAGGCGAAAACTGACTCTTTTCTGAGAGTCGGGCCTGCAGGGTCGCCGCGTCACCCTGGCCACCTAATTCCACCTCGCTACACTACCACTCGGGGACCCCTGATCACAACCTGCTCGAACCCAGGATCGCAGAGCTCAACCTGCGGGTGCATGCCTGTGTGGCTTCAGACGACTGCGCAGCTCCTAACGATGAGCTGCTCGGGTGAGGTAGATCAGTCAAATGTTTGAGAAACATGTGAAAGCACTGCGAGGCCCCCCGCTGAGGAAGTCCCATTTCCAGCCCACGATAACCGGCAGGAGAGGTTCTCGAAGACACAAGCCTACCTTTCTCAATGATGTATTTTATGGCTTCAGTTCCCAGAGTGTCGTACAGGGGCACCGACACCATCGAGTAAGTGTAACACGCCAGCTCAGCTATCAGCCACTGTACAGAGGGAAGCACACATGGCGTTAACACAACAAACTGCAAAAAAACAGCCTCCACAGCTTTCACGTGCACAAGGATGAATAAAGTGTACCAGCTCTTTATGCAAGACAACACTTAGCTATTAAACCACTTCTGTGCCCTGTTTCTGTACCAACAGACTGCAACTGCCAACTTGTAAGCTGATGTGACCTCAGGTCTCAGAAGATAAGCAGGACTGGGCCTGATCGGCACTGGGATGGGAGACCTCTGAGGAAAACCAGGTCACTGCTGTAGGTGATACTGGTGGACCAGCAGGGGGAGCTCCTCCCTTCTGGACCAGAATTTCCAAGGCAATGTCACAGTGTGATGACTGGGGAACACTGTACTGTAGGGAGTGACGCCTTTTGAATAAGAGGTTAAACTACAGTCCTAACCTTTAGTCCAGGCTGGAGCCAAACCAGTGAGGAAGAGGACAGTTCAGTTCATAGACAGGAATTATTAGGAGCCAGGGGGATATTTTGCCAGGACACCAAATTAGGGGTAACACCCCTACTCTTTTCAAGAAACGCCCTGGGCTTTTTAATGACCACAGAGAGTCAGGGACTTGGTTTTTACGGGGCCTTTTTACAGCAGAGTGTCCCTGTCACTAACTACATGAACGCAGTTACCAATTTAAAATACAAAGCCTAATCAAGACCTGGGACAATATCTGCAGCGAAATCCTGCTGAAGGTGACAATGCGTTACCTCTGGTCTGTTCTGTGCAAATATTCCGATGAACTGGTCAGGTGTAGGCGACAGACCCCTGTGGAGTAACCCAGACCCAAGCCATTCTGCTCTGTCCGCTACCTGACATACAACAAAGAAAAAGGGAAGGCTCTTTCATCTCCTTCTCACAGGAGAGCCACATGACATCGGCACTAGGCACATGTGCTAAAGCAGAACACCCTGCTCCCAGAGCAAAACACTGGTCCCAGTCACTGACGAACAGGTGCCCGGAGTTTCCAGTATGATCTGCAATGACAAGGCCACTGAGCCGAAGCAGGTTTCTCACACTGGCCATACTGAAACAATTCTGTCTTGGTGGATCTTGTTTCACAGTGCAAGTATTGTATGCGATGTCATCAGATTCAGAATCGCCTTTACTCGCCAAACGCATTTCATGTACAAGGAATTTACTCTGGTGTACTTGGTGCTGTAAGAACATTCTACATATACAGTAAGACATTCTACTACGAGACAAAAGACAACAGACGTCATTAAGACAGTCCACATAGAACTAGGACTTTAGGTGAAGCAAGACGACAGCCCCAGGAAAGAAGCTGGTCAAGTACCAGGTGCTTCTGGTTTTAACAGACTGGCAGCGTCTCGGTTAGGGAATGTTATGGAACCAGTGGTAACCTAGGTGGGAGGGGGTCATCAGCCATCTTTCTTGCCCGCTTCTCTGCCCTGGAAGAGCACGGCTCATCAAGGGAGGGCGGGTGACGGCCAACGAGCCTCTCCGCAGAGCGGACAACACGCTGCAGAGCGCCTTTGTCCGGTCTAACATTTCATTTCGGGTGCGTTCTGAAACTCTTCGAAAAAGACCGCTCCTTATTACGACGCAGAAGAAGAGTGTCCTTAATGACAAAGATTAAACCAAAGCACGCGACGTTGCAATGTTGCATTAGCTCCTTCCCAGCGCGGGGGATGGGACCAGCCCAGCACCACCGTAGAGACGAGGATGGAGAGCCTTACCTCCTGGTAGGACAGCCACTCGTACGGCTGGTTGGGTTTTCTCGATCCCAGGCAGGGGCCATTATCTTTGAAGAAAATGATCATTTTTTGGGTAAATGCACTTTTTTTAAAAACAGGCATTTGCCTAACAACCCCCCCCCCCCAGAACTGGTGTTGGAATGGGTTGTCTGCTCCGAGCTCCCAGCTGCCCACACACACCTACACCCCCGTTACCCACGAGCCAGGGCTCCCTGTAAGGGAGGGTCTGGAACAGGAACAGTGCAGCCGATGACACCATCTGCAAAGTTCAAATGACCCACCGCTGAAATTTACCTTGTGCAGAAATCATTTTAGACTGTAACTAAATGTTTAATGCAAAACATATATACACTGATGGAAAAAAGAAACGCAACATTTTTCTCCACATCAAATAAAAAAAACAAAAACAATGTATTAATGTAGAAAACTCGGTAGCACAATCCAATCAAGTATGGATGGAGCCAAGGCAGAGTTCCTTGACAAAGCCCCAAAAAAATCATTCTGGTATTCATACTCCCTGTAGAAGTCAGGATTAACCTTAAAATTATTTTTAAAGGCCCTGAAGGATCTCTCTCCTCTTTTCTACGTATAAACCATCTCTACTCCCCCAATTTGTTCCAGTTGCCAAATAAGGAACTATGGGTAATACTGGCAAAATGGTCACAGAGGTCTGTCCCATCCTGATCCCACCCCGAGTCTGTTTTCAAACCTCACCTTAAAACTCATTTTCCACTGGCGGATTTGCAGTGAGATATTTGTTTTATATCTTTCTTAATGATTACTGACCCATGCTTTCTCTACAGCGCTTTGGGATATTTTCGATACAACAGGCAGTCTATAAATCAGGATTATTACGTGGCTGTGGTACTTACTTGATACACGGACGCCCCTCTGAAAGATCTCATACATGGTCTTGGCTTCACTGTAGAAGAAGGACATGAGCTTCCCACTGTCACTCAGCACTGATCTTCGGGCATATTCACCGCCCTGGGGCAAATAAAGGAGGAACTGGTCACTCAAACTTTCCCTCAAACAACAGCAGAATCCAACACCTCTGTTTGAGATGAGAAAGGTCACGTTTTTGCTGTGCGAAAATCAGCTGTGCTGAAAATCAGACGTTCGCTTGTCACTAGAAAACTGGTGGAAACCAATTTGGCTGCACAGTTATACCCACATATTGCAAGACCCCCCAGTCTCGTGCTTTTAAAGTCAGGGACAGATTGTGCATCATTATATTCAAGACATGATCTGGATGTTTGTTGCTTATTTGACAGAACCTGAATCCTGTGTTGTAGCGGATGGTGTCCAGTGTTATTTTTGTGCTGCCTTTTAACACTGCTTGCTGCCCAGATCGCTGAACAGCAGCAGGACTTGTAACAGGAGGAGGGTGTAAGGGATGAGGTTCAGGAGAAGCCCTGTACACCCAAAGCAGTGATGTACATTCCTAGAGGCCACAAGCCTGAAAAGTGCTTATCTGGTACAGCAGCAGGGCCGTGTACTGAGTTCTGAACGCAGGGAACCTCTAGCACTTGGGAAGAACAGGTCAGAGGAGCTGTTTTCAGGAAACAAC